CCGGGAGGCCAACTCAGAGGCGGGAACCTGCGCAGCAGGCTTTGGGTTTAGGGTTTAGGGTTTAGGGTTTAGGGTTGAGGGTTGAGGGTTGACGGTTGAGGGTTGAGCGTTGAGGGTTTAGGGCTTAGGGCTTAGGGTTTAGGGCTTAGGGTTTAGGGTTGAGGGTTTTGGGCTTACAGATGTTTTTAGGGTTTGCTTTTGGGGCTTCGGTTTCTTTCAGCTTTTTCGATTATAAGGTTTAGGGCTCTAGGCTTGGGGATCTTAGGCGCAGGTCTTCGGCTTTGGGAGTTCATGGCATAAATGGTTTCGAGGTTTGCTTTGCACAAGTTTGGCAGTTTTCAACATGATGCTCCCTTTTTGGATACCCTAAATTTAGGGGCCGCCTTATGATAGCAACCCCCAAAAAGGGACCGTCATTTAGAGACATCAGCACCATGTGTCTCGGGAAGGAACAGCACCTCGGGCACGTGCAGTTGCTGCTTACATAACACCTTCCATAGACAGCGGACGCCCTACGTACACCGCTAAAAAAACTCTACCCCTTACCCCCTAAACCCTAAGCCCTAAACCTCAAGCCCGAAACCCTAAACCCCATAAGGTTGACTGTGTCTAAGCTACGCATACCTACGCTCCACAACGCAACCCCCCATCACGACCGCAATGTAAACCCCGCCAAACCCAGAAAACAACTTGTACACCATGAAAACCCTGTGACCCTAAACCCGTATAAACCCTAAACCCTAAACCCTAAACCCCCCAACCTCGAACAGGGCCGCGAAGGCGTTCTGCACCCGTGGAGTCAGTCGGACTATCCACGCTGCATCGCTCTGGGACCTCAGTCAGTTTGGCGCTCCGAGGAGCTGAGGAGATGAGGTTTAGGGTTTAGGGTTTAGGGTTTAGGGTTTAGGGTTTAGGGTTTAGGGTTTAGGGTTTAGGGTTTAGGGTTTAGGGAGTTTACTTTAGGATTTCGGGATTCACACTCAGGGTTCGCGATGGCGCTGGCGCAGTTTGGGAGTTTCCAAAAACAAGGCTCCCTTTGGGGGGGCCATGTTTAAGGATTTAGAACATGTTGGGGTATACTAGAGTTACCGTATGGTAGTGCTCATTTGATCAGAGTGTCCTCTTCCCCAACTATGCGCACACAAGATCGACCGCGTATGCCACACGGTCTATAGCTTTCATGGAGCTACCTGAGTCTAGTCTCTAGGGGCACAGCTGAAAATGTAGAGTCCTGGATCTAAAGGGCAGTGGACAGTTGCGGCTGTCATCCCACCTGCGCGTCCAGACGCAAAGCCCGAAACCCAAAACGTAAAAATAGCAAAACTTGTTCTGTTCTGTGTTGGGGCCCCTTTAGACGTTGCCCTTAAAAGAGGCCCCCTAGATCCTCAAACCCTCTAGAAAAGAAAAACACTGACCCTAAACCCTAAACCCTAAACCCTGAACCCCAAAGAGGCATGCGGAGGGCTGTGCTGAGTCGCCCCACAAGCCATAGCCAACCTGACACGTGCGATCATAGGAACCTTAAAGGGGACCCTAGGCTTTAGGGTTTTAGGGTTTAGGGTTTAGGGTTTAGGGGAATTGTTCTGACATGCTATAAAACTAGCTTGCCCAGTAAAAAAAAAAAAAAAAGGGTGCCCCCTGTTTTAAACGGTTTATAAGGGAGCCTAAGCCCACAAAAAGAGGATAAGAACACTACTGGGCATCTTAAAAAAGGAGCGGAGTGTTTGGGGTTTAGGGCTTGGGGTTCGGGGTTTGAGGTTTAGGGTTTGGGGCTTAGGGCTTTACCCTTCTACGCCTGAACCGAACGAAGACTAGCCAACCCGGAGAAAGAACCAAGGGAACCAACATCCTGGTATGGAACCCTAGGTTCCCGAATACTGCACCACTACTCCCCAAGGCTCCCTAAGCTTCCCCCCCCCCCCCCCCCATGAACGACCCTCCCTTAAGGACCCTGTGAGGGTTTAGGCTTCAAGGTTTTAGGGTTTAGAGATTGGGGCTAAGGATCGTCCACAAGTAATAAGAGGAGCCTCGTCCGAACACTCACCTGGGTTACGGGGTTTAGGGTTTAGGGTTTAGGGATTTGCTAAGACGAATTGAATATTCCTGCAAGAAGGGGTGCCTTACAGAACATCTTCCTGCTCTGCCATTGGGGTCTCTAGGAATCCTCCCAAACAAAACACTTGAACCCCAAACCCTAAACCCTAAAACCTTAAAACCTAAACCCTAAACCCTAACCCTAAACCCTAAACCCCAAGACAGCGCGCCTGGATGCCCCGGAATCCGTGAGGCACGCGCCAAGTCTCGCGCTGGTCGCGGCGGCGGGATGGAAGGATCTTCCTCAGAGACATCAGGTTTAGGGTGTAGGGTTTAGGGTTTAGGGTGTAGGGTCTAGGGTCTAGGGTCTAGGGTTTAGGGTTTAGGGTATATGGTTTAGGATTTAGGGCGCGCCAAAACTCTAGAGCCCCTAAACCCGCATGCGGTTTGGAGCCTAAACCCGTGAACCGCGGCATCTGTCCTCGTAAGCCTGAAGCAATGACCCTGCATAAAGAGATCATTCTTGATGTAGATCATGGGATCAAAAAGATGTTTGATTCTGCCGTACTCTCGGTCCAGCAACCCTGAAGCCTACACCCTAAACCATGAGCATAATGTGCCCCATATACCCTAAACCCTATATACCCAACCCGAAACCCTCAATAAGGGAAAACATATTCTTCCTACGTATAAGGCTTCCCAAGGGCCTGCCTAGCCATTCCTCTTAAACCCTAAACCCTAAACCCTAAACCCCAAATCCCAAACCCCAAACCCTAAACCCTGGCTCCTGAACCCTAAACCCTAAACCCCAAACCTTAAACCCTAAACCCTAAACCAAGTTGCTTCATGGCTCGCCAGAAGCCGTCGATGAACTCCTTTCGCCGCTCTGGTCCGAGGGCGTTCCGCAACACGGCGTAGCCGTGGACCTCAGGTTTAGGGCTAGGGTTTATGGTTTAGGGGTTAGGGTTTAGGGTTTAGGGTTTAGGGTTTACGGTTCAGGGTTCAGGGTTCAGGGTTTAGGGTTCGGTGTTTAGGGCAGCCGACACCCTAAGCCCTAAGCCCTACTTGGAGGTTCATGGTACTTACTAACCAATTATAACTGGGCTTATAACCCTACTTATTAGTGGGATAACCCCTACAAGGCCCTTTAGGGGCATTACAAGTAGGGTTATATGTACAGTTATAATTGGTTAGTAAGTACCATGAACCTTCAAGTAAGGCTCCAACCACTCCTAGTTTAATGTTCTTGGGCCCAAAGGCCTTATCGTTAACGGTGTTTGGGCTATTTTGAGCCTAAGGGAAAGGAGGGTTTCAAGGGCTTATAAGGGATTCGGGGCATGAGAGGTTCCAGGGTTAAAGGGTTGAAAGGTTTAGGGTTCAAGGGTTCAGGGCTTCGAGCTTTTGGGTTTTATGATTTAGGTTTTTAGGGCCTAAGGTGTCGCAGCTCAGGGTTTAGGACTCGGAGATCAGGATTTGCATGCATGTGTGGGAGATTCAGTCAGGAACTGCAATGCGCCTCAAGCACACCCATACCCGAGCCAAGCATCTGGGCCAACAAACCCTACACACACCCCACACCCGTAACTTCAGGCACTAAACCCATAATAAACCTAAACCCTAAACCCTAAACCCTAAAATTTCCTAAGCCCTAAAGCCCAGCTGAACCCTTCAACTGAACCCAGGTTCTAAACCCCCCCCTTGGGCGCGGGCCTTGAAATGCTTGATGAATGCCTTCGAGGGGTGGGCTTTAGACCACCCACCTACTAGGGTTTAGGGTTGAGATTTACGGTTTGGGGTTTAGGGTTTTTGCCTGGTTAAACAGGGTGTCCCATAACCTTGAAACCCTGACACCCAGCACCCGGTAAAATTGCAGACTCTGCCTGGACAGACCCTAAACCCTAAACCCTAAACCCTAAACCCTAAACCCTAAACCCTAAACCCTAAACCCTAAACCCTAAACCCTAAACCCTAAACCCTAAACCCTAAACCACGGAGACCCCGCAGGCCTTAGGGTTGAAGGTGGCCTCTGACTTGAGATTTACGGGCAACCGACCCTGAAGCACAAAACCAAATCCAAAAGAGATGGAAAGGCTCTGCTCTAAATCTCCAATTGTAAGAACTGTTCAAGAGCACACCAGAAACCCTAAACCCTAAACCCTAAACCCTAAACCCTAAACCCTAAACCCTAAACCCTAAACCCTAAACCCTAAACCCTAAACCCTAAACCCTATAGGTCCGAAGCCCTAGACCGAGGTCCTAAGAAGTAGATGTGACATTGCTAACAACATGCGAAAATTGAAGCCCAGATCCTCAGACCTTCACCCTAAACCCTATGTGATTTAGGGCTTTAGGGTTTCAGGGCTAAGGGGGTGTATCCTAAGCCCCAAATCCTAAATACCCAAAACCCTAAACCCTAAACCAAAACCTATAAACCCTAAACCCTAAACCCTAAACCCTAAACCCTAAACCCTAAACCCTAAACCTTCCCACGCCATGGCAGTAGTGGCCTGGTCCACCTTATCGAAGACATGGTCCAGGGAAAGGGAGCTTGCGAGCCGGGCGTACCTGGGTTTAGGGTTTAGGGTTTAGGGTTTAGGTAGTACAGGGGAATGGCTTCCCCTAGAGGCCTATCCACTATCTTCTTTGAGTTCTTTAGCCACCTAGACACTAAACCCCAAACCCTAAACCCCAAGCCCTAAACCCTAAACCCTAAACCCTAAGCCCTAAACCCTAAACCCTAAACTAAACTCCAACCAGGGCACCCATGCTGCAAGTCAAAGTGGAGATCGATGCTCTTGCCGCCCCTGGCATAGAACTCCTCCGGTCGGCGTTGGGATCAAGATCCGCACGCAGGACTCACGAAGCCGTCCAAGACTGGGTTTAGGATTCAGTTTAGGGTTTAGGGTTTAGGGTTTAGGGTTTAGGGTTTAGGGTTTAGGGTTTAGGGTCTGGGACATGGAAGACGCAAATGTGCTCAGTAGGTACCGCGCCCGCCCGCAGCATCAGGTTTAGAGTAGCCCTGCAGTGTAACAAAAGGGTGCAAATACAGGTTAGGCGGGGTTTAGGGTTCAGGGTTCAGGGTGGGTTCAGGGTTCAGCATCTCAGGTCACAGCATTCACTAGTCAAGCAGCTTGTCAAGCGGCGGAGACATTCCCATCCGCCCATTGGGTCGACAACATTAGGAAACTATTTCCCTTTACATAGGAATCCTCAATCCAGCTTACATCCTTGTCAAAAAGCCACAGGCATAGCAGGCCCCAACTAAACCTAAGGTTCAAGGCCAAACGGTCCTTCGCGATCAACGATGCACAATGACCATGAAATCTTGCACACAACTCCCACGAAAAATGCACAACACCCACGATGGGTTAAGGGTTCAGGGTTTAGGGTCATGACACGTAGTTTAAGAAGGGAAAAGTGCGTCATCATTGTGGACTACGTACCGTATGACAAAAGAAGGACGCCGGACTTCTTGGGTACTTTTAATAGCACTTTTGCTCTGGTTTCTAAGCACACGCTATCTTCGGAAAAGAATCCTCCCTTGTGCTGTCAAACCCTAAACCCTAAACCCTAAACAGGTTGCTCTAGACACGGTCAAGGGTCCGAAAGCAAATCTTCCAGAATAACCTGTCGTGTCATGCTGAAGAAGAAGACGAAGAAGCCCTGTATGATTTACACAATGCTCCTGAAAATCAGAGTAAAGACATATAAAACAAACACGTTCATGCATATCATATATATATATATATACACATACATCCACATATATATATATATAGATACACATAGATACACGAAGATATACAATACACATATTTAATCTGCAAACATATGTATACATATATATGTATATATATATATATTATTATATGTATGTATGTATGTATGTATGTATGTATGTATGTATGTATGTATGTATGTATGTATGTGCCATGTTTGCAAAGGTGCAAGTCTGGCCTTAACTGTTGCGGAGCCCACGTATCGCCGCCAGCGAGCTCGCGCTTGTCCCGCCCTTTGCGCAGGCGCACGACGCGTACGTTCAACGGACGAAAAGGAGGGTTTAAGGTTTAGGGTTTGGGGTTTGGGGTTTGGGGCTTGGGGTTTGGGTTTAGGGTTTAGGATTAGGGTTCAGGGTTTAGGGTTTAGGGTTTAGGGTCTAGGGTTTAGGGTTTAGGGTTTAGGGTTGGGGTTTGGGGTTTGGGGTTTGGGGTTTAGGAGGAATGGCCAGGCAGGCCCTTGGGAAACCTTATCCGTAGGAAGAATATGTTTTCTCTTATTGAGGGTTTAGAGGTTAGGGTATATAGGGTTTAGAGTAGGTATATAGGGACAATGTAAGGTATACATAAGGGTTGTATATCTCTTTATACTTTAACTTTGACACCACTACCGAGCTACTACTTTAATCTGAAGAAGAACCCCTGTATAGTGCAAGGCAGGTACAGCCTTTTAACTATTGTTGGATTCTGGTCGCCCAGTGCCACGTTGCAAGAAAGGAACCCCTCTCTTGGTGCTGCCTGTCGTTGACACAGGAAAGCACAACCCTCAAAAGGGCAAAAGTACCAGTGGGGTACCTAAACCCCTAAACCCTAAACCCTCATGAGCAAAAAACTGACAACCCGACATTCCCTAGACCTAAAACCTAAAACCTAAAACCCTAAAACCCTAAAACCCTCAACCCTAAATTGGGCTCTCTGAGTACGCTTCTAACTCCTCGGGCCAGGCCCGGAGTCCTTGGTTCGAGATATGGGACCTGAGGCACCCTAAAAACCCTAAAAACCCTAAAAACCCTAAAATCCCTAAAAACCCTAAACCCTGAACCCTGAACCCTGAACCCTAAACCCTAAACCCTAAACCCTAAACCCTAAACCCTAAACCCTAAACCCTAGCCCTAAACCCTAAACGATTCCGAGCTGCTTGGGAACGAAGCCACCTACGGGTGCCCAAACCAGCTCGGCCTCATCATGGACGAGTCCCTGACACAGGAGATGCACCCTAAACCCTAAACCCTAAACCCTCAACCCTCAACCCTCAACCCTAAACCCTAAACCCTAAACCCTAAATCCTAGACCGCGGTCAGTTCTATAGAATGATGTCCCCAGGGTTTAGAGATTCCCCCCGTGCTACTTAGGGCATTTCTAACACTCAACACTAAACCCTAAATCCTAAATCCTAAACCCTTAGCCCGGAAAAGGAATCATGCTTTGGAGAAGGGCCAGGGTTTAGGGTTTGGGGTTTGGGGTTTGGGGTTTAGGGTGTAGGGTGTCACGCCTCCAGGGTGAATCTGGTCGGTTTAAGTTTTTTGTAGGTGACCGGGTTTAGGGCTTGGGTCTTAGGGTCTAATTAGGGTTTAGGATTTGGGGAAAGAACCCCAAACCCAGACTTTTTTTTAGGCGACCGAGTTTAGGGCTTCGGGTTACATACATACATACATACATACATACGTACGTACGTACATACATACATACGTACACATGTACATACAACATATATATATATATATAGAGAGAGAGAGAGAGTAAGAAGACCGTAGCCGTAGACATATGCATAAATACTTGGCGAGGTGCTGACGTGCACAGTCTAAGCCTAACTCTCATTTGCATCGCTGTATGCCCCTTTGCGCTTCTTCGTCACATACGCATAGAGTACCGGGTTTAGGGTTTAGGGTTTAGGGTTTAGGGTTTAGGGTGTGTTGGCAGCTGCGAAGGTCTGTCTCATGATGCTACGCATCCTGCTAAGCAACAGGGCCGCGGATGTGCCAAGACGACTCACAGGTCGCTCTTCAAGTGCTGGAATCCTAAAAGCTCCAAAGCCCTATAGATCTGAAAAGCCCCGACCCTCCTCAGGAACCCTAAACCCTAAACCCTAAACCCTAAACCCTAAACCCTAAACCCTAAACCCTAAACCCTAAACCCTAAACCCTAAACCCTAAACCCCAGCTCGCAGGCCGACCTTCTCCACGGAGGCTTTCTGGACTTTGCTGGTCATGCCAAGCTCCTCGCCCAAGGCTTTGCCTACCACCCGGAAGAGTTCAGGAAGTGTGGGGGGGGGGGGGTTTAGGGTTTAGGGTTTAGGGTTTAGGGTTTAGGGTTCAGGGTTTAGGGTTTAGGGTTTAGGGTTTAGGGTTTAGGGCTTAGGGTTTAAGCACCCCCAAGAGCCTAAGCCCTAAGCCCTCATCCCGGAGATACCCACGCTGCCAAGATCCCGAATCCCACGGAGCCTACAGTACCTTACTTCTCCAATAGCCAAGGGGAAAACAGGTTAAACTTTATTATTCCTACTAAATAAGGAAACCCAAAAAGTTTAAAGTTCAGCTGTTGGAGAAGTAAGGAGCCTACAGTACATGAAGTCTACCTGAGGACTCTTCTGCGGCCAGGGTTTAGGGTTTGGGGTTTGGGGTTTAGGGTTTAGGGTCTAGGGTTTAGAAGCAATGGTTGGTTTAGGATTAGGGCCTGGCTTTAGGGTTTTAGTGTTTAGATGGTTTAGCACTGTTTTCTTTGCTGGGTTGGGATGCGGGGGTGGGGTGGGGTTTGGCGTATACGGTTGTAGAAGTAACCCTACCAACAAAAACTGCACAACGTGCTGCAAGAGAGTCGTTGTAGAGTCATCTCGAAGTCTGAAGAACCCTAATCCCAAACATCTACACGGGACTCGCAAATCCCAAACCTAAACCCTGAAGCCTCTAGCTGAAGGCTTAGATGCAGTACCCAGACCCATACTCCCGAATCACAGCTAGCGTTTTCGGTTTTGGGTTTCGAAGGATAAGGCTGTATCAGGTTAGAAGCCCTAAACCCTTTCAGCCCAAGACCCCACACCCTAAACAAAAACTTCTAGGGTGTGGTCCTTGCACCAGATGAAGCGGCACAGCGGGTCACCATGAACGCGGGGGAGGGAGGGGGGAGGAGGGCCTCGGATCAGAACCTTAATCACTTGCAACATGTGAAGCTATTAAGCTGCGTTTGGTTTTGTAAGTGGGGCGCTAGGCAGCGTCAGGTAGAAGTCTAGGGTTCAGGGTTCAGGGTCAGGGTTTTAGGGTTCAGGTATATTTTCTTGGAGGGTGTATACAGGTTGCTCTAGGACTCTAGGTAAACCCTCTGACTGGTAGGCTATGGCTCGTGGTCGTCTGGGCTTTTGTGTATGCAGAGCACATAGTCGGCACATAGTTAAGCTTTACGGTGTGTGCGCAGCGGCCGCGGCAGGACATGCAAACAAAGGGCCCTGTCAAAGGCCTGGAGACCTTCCTTCCCTAAACCTTGCACCTTGCACCCTGAACCCCAGACCCTAACCCCTAAACCCTGAACCCCAGCCAGATAAGCTTACAACCCTCAACTCTGGAACCCTAAACCCTAAACCCTATAAAGACGAAACACAGGGTTCCATTTCGGGTCGGGTACACAGAGCATCCCAGAACGTCATCACGCCAGGCAGGGCTAGAGGACCTTCTGGGGGCTTAGAGGCTTTAGGGTTTCGGGTTTAGGATGACCGAAGAATTACCTAAACATAGAAAGGTTGCCTTTTGTGCTTACCGGGGATTGTAAGGGAACCTAAGCCCTACAAGCAAAGCAATAAGGGCCTACTCTCGGTCCCAGTACTTCCACCCCAAGCACCTTCCAACACGCGAGGAAAAGGAATGCCACCTCTGCCTGTGGCTCAGCCGCACCCTAAACCCTAAACCCTAAGCAGTGTTTCCACTGCGGATCACCACCTAAAACCAATCTGACACAAGGAGCTCTCGCAACTCCCGTCCCCACCCTCATATTAAAACTCCTGTATGAATTCATCTGTTTTAACTGGGAACCTACTCATTTAGGGTTCCTCATAACACCCTCCCTAAACGCTAAACCCTGAACCCGAAGCCCTAAACACTGAACCCGAAACCGTCGTATAAGGGTGTGCCTAGATTAGGGGGAAAGGGATGAAGGCTGACAACCCTAAACCCTAAACCCTAAACCCTAAACCCTAAACCCTAAACCCTAACCCCAAAACCAGCAACCTGAAGTCCCCACACAGCACCCCCAAGTCTCCGCACACCTAAACCCCTCTGGTTCTTAGTGAATGAGGGAGTTAGGAGGGTTTAGGGTTTAGGGTTTAGGGTTACATATACCCTTTTAGGGAGCCGGAATACGGGTTCTAGGGTTTAGGGTTTGGGGAGCTTAAGGGTTTAGAACCCTAAACCAGAAACCGTCGCCGAAACCGTCGCTTAAACCCCAAACCCTAAACCCTAAACCCTAAACCCTAAACCCTAAACCCTAAACCCTGAACCCTGAACCCTGAACCCTAAGCCCTAAACCCTCAACCCTAAAGTCCGAAACCCCTGTCCAGAATTCTGGTGCAGGCCAAGCAACTCCTGGAGTCCATGGCTGCAGGGAGGCTTTGCCCTAAACCCTAAACCCTAAACCCTAAACCCTAAACCCTAAACCCTAAACCCTAAACCCTAAACCCTAAACCCTAAACCCTAAACCCTCCATTGCAACGAGAATGCAAGTTGCTGCGAAGGCTCGCGGGTTTGAGATGTACGTCTTTTGATTTACTTGTTCGTACATTATTATTCTCCGTCTACAAGCGCATACGCACATACATGCATCATACGCTTGGATCTTCAGCGTTGCTCTGCTTGCCCCTACGAACTGGCCCATGCTATGACACACCCGGGAGGACAGCTTCTGGTCCTTTCCCGAGGACGATAGCTGCGGGTATATTGGCTGGCAGCGCGGGAGCTATATAAGTGGTGTGATCTAGAACCCTTCTGAACATCGGACGATTTCTTCAGCGGCTTAGGGAAGTTGAGGGTTTAGGGCTTAGGGTTTAGGGCTTAGGGTCCCCAGGGGTTTAGGGCCGACCACAGTACAGGATGAAACTACCAGTGGGGTTTACGGACTTGTGTTCGTCTTCCGTCAAAGGGCCTGATTTGAAAAGGTTCAGAGGCTTCAAGGCGCACAATTCCATGGGTGTAGAATAACCCATTTGGGGAGAAATGCACGCAGAGTGGTCGGTGAGCCCCCCCCCCCCATTTCTTGTACTAGTTCGGGTCCCATACAGCTCTACTTCCTGCCCCCTTACAGCTCTACTTATAGCCTGGGTGGTGCCTGCTGGTACTTCTTTTGGTGAAAAGAGGACAGAGGGATGACAAGGGCGCGCTGGCAAATCGCTGACCTCGCCTTTTCTGATCGCGCGAACACTCATCAAACGTGGCGGGTCGCCTACTGTTTGACCAGCCGGTTCGTGCTCCCGTGATTCTAGCGGCCAATGTCCTGCCTTCAACTTGAGCGATCATCCCTCAACTACACATTCGGTTTAAGTTCAAGCTTTGACTTACAATCCTAAACCCTAAACCCTAAACCCTAATTAAGCCCTGAACCCCCAGCTAAAGCAGGTCAAGCGGTTCTTCCGGAGTCGTCGCCCGAGCGTCCTTCGGGGGTGACACAGCCGTGGCGCAGGCTGCGGTGCCCCGACCGGCTTAAGGCCCCCAATGTAGGCGATGGTTGGTTTAGGGTTTAGGGTTTAGGGTTTAGGATGTAGGGTTTAGGGATGAGGGATGAGGGTTAGGGCTTAGGGTTTAGGGTTTAGGGTTTAGCGTTTAGCGTTTAGGGTTTAGGGTTCATGGTTTAAAGTTGAGGGTTCGTGACAGAACCATTCGAACTTGTAGCAGATGATTCGAAGAAGTTCGTCGAGCGGTTTGGGGTTGGATAGGGTCTGACAGGAGCGGGTAAGACACGATGAATGGCGAATCGGTGATCCCCCCAAGACAGACTTGGTAGGAGTAAACGGCTCCACACACACACACATACACACATGCATACATACATACATGCATGTATATATATATATATTTTTTGAAATATGTCTGTAATTATTTCTGTATACATATATATATATGTATATGTATATGTAGGTCCTCTAAACTAGGGTCCATTTGGGTGGGTGGGAGGGGGGTTCTTCTTACAAGTGTGAGGTATTATATAGGGGATCCAACGCAAAATACACTTTCACCAAATTGGGGTACCCTTAATATACCCCCAAAGAGTATAATCCTTAGTATAGGAACCCCCCAAAAAAAATAGTACCCACGTTTTCGGAAAACCCCATATACATAAAGGTCCAAAGGTCCTGAGCAGGATCTGAAGCCACCGCTGCAGCTGCTGCTTGCGCCTTGCACCATACAAGCAGCACGGTTGCCTCCCTCAACCCTAAGGCCTAAGCCCTAAACCCCAAACCCTAAACCCTGTTTTATGGCGAGAAGAAAGAAGCCCCACAAGGTCCAAGCCTGTGCTGCTTCGGCAGCTTTTGCTGCATCGGCAGCTTTTGCTTCTTCGGCAGCCTTTGCTTCTTCGGCAGCTCTTGCTTCTTCGGCCGCTTTTTGTGCCATGGCCTGCTGCAGCTCGCACAGCTCACTACTCTAGTACATATAACAAAAAATGCATAAAGAGCGAGAAACTACCCCACGGGGTCGAAGCCTTGGCTTCTTCGGCAGCTTTTGCTTCTTCGGCAGCTCTTGCTTCTTTGGCAGCTTTTGCTTCTTCGGCAGCTCTTGCTTCTTCGGCAGCTTGCGCTTCTTCAGCTGCTTTCTGGGCCATGGCCTGCAGCTCTCACAGCAACTCTGGCGCATATATATATATATACACATATATATATATAGATGTAGTAGTAACCTGCTCTTTGTACGGAGTATCTGGCTAGCAGTACAATAGAAAATACAAAAATAGCACTCACATGAAGTAACAGTAAGAATAATCATAACATACATACATACATACATACATATATATATATATTCATAGTGCATTGGAACATCATGCAACGCAAGCTCCCAATATATGCTATAGTGTAATACAATGGAATGTTGGTTCTGAGAACCCCCAGGTCTAGAGCCAACAGGCCTCGGAACTTGATGATCAGCGTCTGCCATGTAATCTTCTCTGTATCGTTCCAATGAATGAAACCACGGTCGAAACTATGGCGGCAGAAGGACTTGTTTTCTCGCACAAACGAAGTTGCTCATGTACCTCATACACCCTTAGGGTTGGGATCAAGCTACCTTCGTGCCATGTCTGCTGCCTCTGATGCTTGTGCAAAGTCTGCAAGACACGGCTGCAGCGGTCGCGTTGGGCGCACCTGGGACAGGGGACATCAACACTCCTCCTTGGTTTGAAACATTGTGTCCAAACCATCCAGCATAGCCCAACGATCCAAAACGTAGACATCACATGTCGGTTGTGCTTCCCGCTCCACAGGAATCATGCATCACGCTATTGCTTCTTGCACCCTCACCCCAAAGCCAAAGCATCAATGGAACGTCGGTACAAAGGTCTTGCACCGTTGCAAAACTGGCAATACTCTGCTCGCCTGGGTTGCACCCCATTCAGGCCATGACAATGCGGGCTCGTGTGAATCTTTGAAGAAGCTGACCCAGTTTTCCAAAACTGGTTTGTCGGGTATTGCACATAGGACACCTCTGGTGCCCTGAGCTCCCAAGGACTGGAGCTTGAGGTTGCTCCCCGTGGAACTTCTGGGATAGGAGGAACCGGTGGATACGCCGGCTCAACAACTGGAGGTGGTGGAATGGGAGTTCTGGACGCAGTCTCCAACACACGTGCTCGAACTTCACGCGGAGAGCTTGATTGACGTAGGGAATCATCAGTCTCCAACGTCCTGTCCAGCTCCACTTCGGCTGCTGCTCGGGCCGCTTCACGTAGCTTTCGTAGTCGTCGGTTCTTCGGGCTCTCCCGACACAGTCCCCAAAACCACTTGGCGCCATGTTTCAAGCCTTCCCAAAAACCAACTGTAGCAACACACACCACGATTGTCAACAGGAACAGTTCATCCGCTCCAGTCACCTTGATACTTCTTCCAGTTGTCGTAGCTTCCATCGGTTCAGCAGTACTGTCATCACGCCCACTCGAAGGACTCGACGCACCCGCAGGGATGATGAGCATGGCCAGAACGACACATGCTACTGCCAGCTTTCGGAGTCCCACCAACTGCACAGCTTCAGCAGGTAGGTTGACGAAGCACCATTGTTGTAGCAAGTCCCAAAGCCTTGCCTTGCTATGCATCTTGGTGGCCAAATCCGCAAGTTGACGACAACCGTCAACGTGTTCCACTTCCAGAAGCCCAAGTTCAACTTGTTGACGAACATGTGCACTTCGGACCTTCAAATGTCTGGTCCTCCAGGAACCCTGTCCGCCGGCCAGCATGGCCAGGGCAGAGGTATTGTCTACCCGTAGGATCCGCCTCAACCTTGTTCCAGATAGCTCATCAAGGAGACACCCGATGCTTTCAAGTAACACTGTGGCTTGTGTGGCTTCGTACAACTCTGCCTCCATCACGGATAGTACGATGAAAGCCTGTTTGCTGGCTTTCCAAGCAACTGGTGCCCCATTGACTGTAACTACGCAGGCCCCAAACGATCTGGATCCATACGGGGCGAAGCTGGCGTCAGAAAAGGCAGTTAGGCAGGGAATACTTGCACACGCACGCTTGCTTGTGGTGTCTGCTGGCTCTGCTGCTGCTGTACTGCTGGTGCTGGTACTTGGCTCATGTCTTCCAATGACCAGTTCCATCTTCTCAGTAGCCTTCAAGTAGCTCATGATTCTTCCGCCGATCTGCTTCACCTTGTTCGGCTGTTTGCTCACTCTTGACGCCATGTAGTTCACCGGGAAAAGGAGATCCGGACGCGTTCTCATACACAACCACAGCTGTTCTCTGACGATTTTTTGAGCCATCTTCAACTCCAGTTCCGAAAAGTTCTCCTGTTCGTCCAGCTCTTCATCTGCTAGCCACTCCTTCGGACATGGGAGCTTGCTTTCAACGGCATCATCCATGGAGTGGGAACGAAGGAGATCTCGGATATAAGCCGACTGTGCGAGGTGGAAAACGCAGTTTTCATCTTGCTTGATTTCCATTCCAAGGTACCGAACTCCTTCACCCTGATTTGCAATCTGTAAGCCACTGGTTGGCCACTCTTCTTCCAGCCAGACGTGGATTGCACGAATAATCTCCTCCTCCGAGAGATACAGCAGATCATCCACATACGTGATGATCAGTCCCAGCAGGTCCAGGTCATTGTCGTTGGCGAAGATGAGCCAAAGCTCAGGGTCGGCCTTGGAAGGTTTTAGCTTCAAGGTCCTTTTTCCACATGGTATGCTCGCCATAGACATCCTCAAGGCCCTGCATCTCGCCCATATACTTGGAGATTCGCGAAGACCATACAATGGCCTGAGGACCAACCAAGCCTGTGGCTCCTCCTCAGGGTTGACAAGGTACTTGGGTGGCAAGATGGCATACTTCGGCATATCGTCCGGCCAGAGGGCCAACAGAAAAGCCGACACAATATCGGTGCTGGCCGCCAGCCAACGGCGAAGAGCCGCAAAAGCCAGCGAGGTTCGAAGTGTCTCGGCCGATGCTCCTCCAGCGTATAGCTCAGCATCATCTTCCCCTCTAGCCACGAAGTTCCCGCACAGTACAAGCCGAAATTTCCTTCTCACCCTCTCATTTTTTGTTCCAGAGCCCGGAGGTTTCAGCGTAAACACACCTTTTGATGGCACTATCCTCAGGCCTTCAGAGCGTTCAAGTTCCCGTGCTCGGGACAACGGAATTTTCTGCAAGGTACCAGCGAAAAGGGTGTCCAGCTCCTTTTGGATTGCTTGCCACCATCGATGTATCACTGGCTTCACCTGTTCCAGAGGGACAGTATGGACCACCTTTAAATCTTCTTGCAGGTTCGCAACAAGGGCCTCATAATCTTGTTCATTTGTCGTTTGCATCATGCACAATCTCCGGGCTTGCAAGCACTTCGCCAACGTATTCGCAGTGTCCTTTGCCTCGTTCCTGCCAACGGACTCCATCATCTCGTAAATCATTTGCTGAACATGTTGGATCTCTTCAGAAATTTGCTTGCCAGCTCGTTGACATTCTTCCGCTAGCACTTCTTCTTGTTCCAGTAGTTCCCGGAGTCGCCCTTGACGTTCTTCCAAATCGTCAAGGAGGAGCTCTTGCTCATCCCCAATTCTCTCCAACGCCTCGCCCAGTTTCTCGTCCACCTCTCATCTAGGAAAGGGCCAAGCCACATTTCGCAAGATTGGGACTGGTCAGCATTCTTCGGGATGTCACCTGAGGCATACTGGAACTGGTCGGCATTCTTCGGGATGTCACCTGAGGCATACTGGAACTGGTCGGCATTCTTCGGGATGTCACCTGAGGCATACTGGAACTGGTCGGCATTCTTCGGGATGTCACCTGAGGCATACTGGAACTGGTCGGCATTCTTCGGGATGTCACCTGAGGCATACTGGAACTGGTCGGCATTCTTCGGGATGTCACCTGAGGCATACTGGAACTGGTCGGCATTCTTCGGGATGTCACCTGAGGCATACTGGAACTGGTTGGCATTCACCTTCCGAAGCTCTCTTCTTTTCGGTAAAGTGAACCCCAGCTCCTTTATACGCCTTCGATCTTCTTCATAAAGCTTGGTCGCTCTCGGTGTGAAAGCAATCAAAACCACACGATCACCCTCCCATTCTTGTACTTCATGCCATTTTCGTCCAGAAAAAACAATCGGCTTCCCCTTTTCCAGCTCCTGCACCTTGCCTCGTTTAGGAGATTTCGCTCCAGGTGGTGTTCTGAAAACCGCCCCTTCTTCAGGAACATCTTCATCTTCTATCCAAAGACCACCACCGTTCTCAGGGACAAGCAGAGGTAGGAGAACATTCCGGGAGTCCGCTTCGTTGTGAACATCACGATGACATCCAAACGACGTATTTCGAATAAGTCCCAAAGCAGTGAACTCTCTTTGACCAGTGATCTCCTTTGTCGCCTTGACCAAATACTTTGTTGTCCACTTCATTCTCTTCGTTGTGTTGCGAATCCCGGCCACTCCACCATGCACGAAAACACCAGTCAACCACGACAACTGATTCTCTTGTTGGACAGCTCTACTGCCGTGGGCCTCAAGCTTTGTGGTTCCCAGTAACTTGCTCAGCTCCAACAGAACTTCCACAGTCCATTTCTTTTCACGAAACATTTTCCTGGCAAACGCTTCCGCTTCCACCTCCGACGCGCTCAAGGGCCTCGAAAGCGACGCCAACAGCAACGACAACGAGGTCTTCCCTCTCACTCGTCTCTCCGGCATGGGCAGGTCCATCTCATGAGAAGGTATCTCGACCAGATCATCGGCGGGAACTAAGCTTGCTCTTAAGTGCATGCTTGTGACATAGGAACCGTCCTCGAACCTAACCAAATGACCACCACGAACATCGGGAGAAGGGCCAACATAGAGTCCTTGACGCCAACGTGGGTCGAGATCATATTTTCCTCCAGTTCCATAAACCTTGGTCCTCACATGCACTGGAGTTCCAAAAGGAATAGGCCCCTTCCGGCCCAGAGCTTCCTCTCGCTGCTTGTAAACGGCGTATGCCATTGCAAGTGGCCACCCTGAAGGCGGCAATCTGCTCGAACGCAGGAGGGTCTTGGCATGGGACTTAACCATCTTAACGGTCGCCTCGGCTCTACCGTTCTGTTGTGGGCTTTGAGGCTCACCAGTCGTTGGAAGAATTCCTCTCTCAACGAACCAAGCTCGAAGACTTCCATTGCACAGCTCGCGTGCCCGATCTGAGTGACATCGAAAAACCGGTAATCCTTCGGCTTCGACTTGGAGGAGCATCTTTCGCACGCAAGCATTCACCTCTGCTGTTCTTCGAGATCTCATCGGCACAGCAAAGCGAATCACATGATAACGGATGTTGTCGCCCACCTCCTTCACGACCTCCTTATATTTTTCATTGATCTCAGCCATCTTATCCTTGTCTTCTTGAGATACGGGCTCCTCCTCAACTTCCTGCTCATCTAAGAGAGCCTCGTACTCGTCATCAGCTTCACCACCATCTTGTTCACCCTGGGGTTCTTCTTCTGGGACTTCTGCTGGGGAAAGAGGAGGCTGAAAAGGTTGAGGTTCTTCAAGCGCACCAACGCCCGCACCCTCATCATTGTCGATGACATCCTCCGGAGGCTGCCTTGACCCCTCGAGAATAGGGCCAACGTAAGCACCGGTAAGCATGTACTTGTAGTCACGGTATTCACTAGACTCTCCAAGCGCCCTGAACGGCCCAGCAACATCGATAGAAAGGGTATAGCAGGAGGGGGTGACGACTCTTAAATGTCGCCGCCCTGTTCCTCTCGTAGCTACACATGTTTGGCACCTTTTGTTGTAGGGAATGTGGTTGTTCCTGACGTGTCGAGCCCACCCTTCAAGCTCAGCCCTGGTCATCCCTTCCAGCGGACCATCCAGCCTTCTGACACATGCTCCCTTTTTCCAGAACAACATTCCCTTCACCAGGGCATTCTTGAACTTCATGGTCCAAGTTGTGTGTCCATCGCTTCGAACCTTCCACTCAGACGGAGGATCTATTGACAACGTGGTAGCACATCGGCAACCATCATCGCTTTCCACCACAAACATCCGGTTTTTTGCCTGAAAGGTCTCCCAAACCGTGGATGTCCAGAAACCTCCATCGATGTTGCCCTCAAGGACGAAGAAGGGGATATTGGCCTCCGACATGACCGAAGCTTGGCGGGCGACTGTCCACAGAAAAAGCTGCTTCATTGCCAGCTGTCCATCAGCTGCACGAGGCGGCTCGCCAAAGATTCCCTTAATTTTTCCTTTCATGGCCGCCCAGAGAAGTGCACGATACGCGGGGCTCCAGTCTTTCAAATCCCAGGCCTTGCTTTTGCCGATGTCCACTTCAAGGATCACATTGCCGGCTTCCTCCAAGACCTTGAACTCATTGTGCACCGTCCTTCCGGAAAACAAATGCACTATCCATGGGTTCTGAAGAAGTTTCCTTCGCATGGCTCTCTTGACCGGCAACGATTTCACATAGGTCTGCCCAGCCTTATCACTCAAATCCAAATCCTGGATCAACATGCAGCGCTGGGCTTCTGTGAGAACTCCAAAAGGCGAAGACTCGTCCATCAAGGCCTGCAAACCCACTCTTCGATCTCCCGAAAGAACATACTCATTCAGGTAGTCGCCAAACTCCTTGTTCAAGATATGCTCCAGGGCTCTAAGGTGACCTTCTTGCACGTTGTCATGAAGCCTCTGCAGCTTTTGCTCTTCCAACTCCTGAATGATGTTCAAGGCTTGCGCTTCTCCCAACATCGGACAGCTGCCTGCTACATGCGTTCTCAACACCCCATGCTCCGGGTGTTCCACGACCAAGCCCCTTTTTCGAGTCCAATGCAAGGTACATCCCAGGGATTCTACGAGCTCGCCCAACGGGATGATCGAGGTAGGCCTGATAGCGCCTTCCTGCGGGGTTGCAGGCATCAGAGTACCAGCACGATTCTGTTTGAGGGCTACAATCCTTCCGTCGGCCAACTGTACGTGTACTTCTTCAGCAGTGGCTCTCTCAAGCTCCGTTCCTTCCCTGAAGATATGAGTGGCGCCGGAATCAAGCAGAGCGAGGTTCTCGTTGGGGTCTAAAATTGCCCTCAAAGCCGTCATCATTTCTGCACTCTCCTCAACTGTCCTCAGGGCCTGCAAATTCCCAAGCTTTTTCAACATGGCATTCGCTTCCTGCAGCAATGCCTTGATTTCAGGGTCCCTTGCTGTCCCATCAGACGAAGTGCTAGCTGCATCCTGCTGAGAGTCCAAAGACGAAGACATAGAGGACGAAGCGGGCACAGATGCTTGAGGCTGCGACCCTGATGCTTGAGATTCAGACTGCAAGGAGGGAGCAGGCTGCATAGCTGCCGCCTTCGGAGTAGGAGCCCGCTGGGACTTGCCACCATTTTTTGTAGCCTCCTTCACCGGACATTCTCCTTGTCGATGGGCTCGGGAACCGCAATGCCAACAACGAGATTTTTTCTCATCCTTTGTGGGAAACTCATGTTGAAATTGGCAGGCAGGACCTCGTCGGCAGCCGGCTTCCGAAAGAAAGAATTTGCAGGGAGCCTTTCCACCATTCTTACCAGTCTTAGAGGAAGGCGAAGAAGAAGATGGAGTTGGTTCCCCGGTTCCAGTCTGTTGATTTCCCACTGCCCTCAACTTTGGCTGATCCGCGTTGGACTGTGTCGCCTTTCTGGCCGGAGATGCATGTTGAAGCTCAGCCATAACGTGGTCAACGTACTTCATCACCGTGGCCTGGCTTGGTCTTGACTGAATTTGTAACTCATTTTTCACCAAGGAGATCCTGAACTTCACCTCCGGAAACTTTTCAATGGCCTTCTGCGAGATGGTGTCTACAGCACGAGCCAACACGCTGGAGTCTGGCGCCCGAATGTTGCACTCTTCAGCTCTTTCCAGGTACCTCCTCCACTTGCGAAGCTGCATCACCGCCTCATTCGGATCCTCGCCAGCACTTGAGCCCTCAAGTTGTCGAAGAATGGCAGCCCGTTCTGAAGAGCCACCTGGCTGATACAGTATGTGTAGTCTGTAGAGGGCCTCGGCAGGATTCGTGACACGATGAGTCACACAGTCCTCCTTCGCTGTCGCATTCATGGCGTTGAGAAGCAATGTCAGGACACGACGCTCCAAGCGCTTCCATCTTGCTTCACTCAGCTCACTCGGCAGATTCGGCTTGATGGTGAGCCTTTCCAACGGACTTGCAATCTGGTACTTGTCGTAGGCCTCACGAGCACATTTCAAAGTCGCTCCAAACCACGTAGACGCCAAGTCTGTCAAGCCCCCAACCGTCTGCTCAGTCATATACAACCAATCTGCAAATTCCACTGCCGAGTCACCCGTCACGGGTGGCATAGGTTGAAGATCGACCCCACCCTTGATGGCTTCCTGCTCCGGGGCCTCCTTCTTCTGCATGTACACTTGTTGCAGCTGTCTCATACCCTGCACCAAGAGCTTGGCGTCTGTGGACTCAGTAAGGTCTGGGTCCTGTCCCACTCCATCAGCCGAAGGCCCACCACCAGTTCCTGCCGGTCCGTTGTTCTGGCCCGACCCGATAGGGTTGCCTCCACCTCCAGAATGAGCTTCATGCTCTTGCCCCTCAGTCAGTCGCACCTCTCGTGGCAAGGACCGATCACCGGGCACTGCATCAGGAACACCAGAACTTCCCAAGGCCGACGAACGATTCTCTCGAGATTGTTCATCACCAGGACCTCTGCCGCCAGGAATTCCCCGAGGTTCCTTATCATGGCCTCGAAGTCCTGAAGGAGCCTGTTGAGGTACCTCATCCTGATCTCGTCGTCCGCCACCGCCTTTGTCCGTCTCCAGCATGATTCGTAGTGCTTCTCTCAAGTCCTGATTTTCGCCGCGCAAAAGCCTCATCTCCTCATCACGAGTTTGCAAGGCCATTTGTACTTGCCGTCGAACTTCATCCATGATGACCTCCTGGGGAATACTTCCACTTGAGCTGTCGTCACGAGAAGCTCCCTGTTGAAACATTCTCGGCCCGGGAGTCAGAAGGGTTCTCCTCTCTGTCCAGGTTTGCATCGCTTGACCAACCTCAGGGCTCATGAGAGGGGTGCCCTCCGATGGACTTCCATGGATGCTCTGCCACTCAGGCGGCGAAGCTTGTTCCATTTGTAACCTCGTAGCAGCCACACCAACATGCTCTAGGACTGGCGTCACCACTCGACGATGAAACACATTGCTGATACGAGTAAGCGACCACGCCCCACCAGGCTCCATTTGAGCCTCTGTCCCACCCTCAGAACTCATCGAAACTTGCTGAAGGCCTTGAGGTACTGGAGGAGGAGCGGTGAGTGGGCGAAAGGGATTCCGACCTGAGGACTCTGTTCCACCTGGGACATTGTTCACAGCCATATTTGCACGATGTTGCACTGCTTGGACCATAGCTGCTCTCTGTTCATGAAACTGTCTAACAGCTTGCTGAAGAGGCGTAGGAAGGATTCCAGGTCCAGCACTTCCCTGCGAAGGCTGCGAAGGCAATGCTTCTGAAGAGGCAGGCTGTTCTGCTGCTGAAAGTGTTGTAGATGTAAGTGGTTGGGTGTGTTGTGCACGATCGTGACCTGCCATCGTCGCGCCCGGTCCGGTTTCGTTCGCAGCTCCGGTTATCGTTGCACCACCAGCCTCACACTGACCAGCGTTGTCTGCGTTCGAAGATCTCGGGGGCTCAAGGACAGGGACCGAACTCGAGGTTCTGGCACCCTGCCCCGGAGGACCGGAGATCACGCCATTTGGCAAAGCATGCGAAGCACCACCACCAATACCACCAGCTGGCTGACCCAAATTTGGAATCGATCCATATGGTGGTCCACTGTGTTCACCTTCCAGCCGAGCCCGCCCATTTGGGCTCATAACCTGTTGGTTCTGAGAACCCCCAGGTCTAGAGCCAACAGGCCTCGGAACTTGATGATCAGCGTCTGCCATGTAATCTTCTCTGTATCGTTCCAATGAATGAAACCACGGTCGAAACTATGGCGGCAGAAGGACTTGTTTTCTCGCACAAACGAAGTTGCTCATGTACCTCATACACCCTTAGGGTTGGGATCAAGCTACCTTCGTGCCATGTCTGCTGCCTCTGATGCTTGTGCAAAGTCTGCAAGACACGGCTGCAGCGGTCGCGTTGGGCGCACCTGGGACAGGGGACATCAACATGGAAGTTGGTATAAGATGTAAATGAGTAATAATTAATCAAAAAGACATAAACATTATGTAGCATCACAAAACAGAATATAATCACATATAATATGACACTCCGAAGAAACTCGCGCTATCGTTGACATGATTGGGCGCTACGCTAGTAGACACTGAAACCGCGCCAGCCGCGAACCTGCCTCCGCAGCTTGCTTCTCGGCCAGGGCCTTCAGTTAGGGTTTAGGGTTTAGGGTTCAGGGTTTAGGCTGGAAGGCACATGAGCATAGTAGGGCTTATGGTCGAGGATTCTTGGCCCTGGACCCTAAACCCTACACCGTTCACCCAACGTGCCTTCGCTTGCGCAGCTTTCGCGGTTTCGTCTGCTTCCTGCTTTGACTGTTCCTGTCAATCTGATCTAGGGGTAGTTATATGGTCCCTGAATATGGTCCTGTGAATTCTTCAAAGGGTTCTGAAGTATGGCCCTTGAGGTTTGCGGGGAACATTAGGGGTGTATAAGGCTTTCCAGTTCAAGGCCCCATATTACGGGACCGTGTTACTGTAAGTAATGCAACGACCCTAAGAGTTTAGGGCAACGGTAGACGATATATCAGGGTTTATGGTAAGGGTGTTCAGGCAAAGTTAGGGTATTACGGTTTTTTGTTGTGGAATTCGGGTGTTCGGTGTTCAGGCGGCTTCCCCCCATGCTTAGAATTAAGATTGTTTAAGGTTCGGCGGTTGAGGGTCAGGGCTTTAGGGTTGTTCCGGGCATGGGGTTCAAGTGATGTTTTGGTTCTTGTGTCGGATAGTATCGGATTGCGTCTTCTTGTTGTGGTCTTTCATTCCCGTCTGCCTTTCCTGTTACATAGTTCAAGGTCTGGGTAGTCCAGGGTTTGTGGCTGAGTTTTTAGGAGCTTCGCGGAGATTTGTTGAGGGTTTTGCGAGGATTTTCAAGTCTAAAATTGGAGCTTCAGAGTAGAAGCCATGTAAAAAGCTCAGGGTTTAGGGTCTACTGGCGCTTGGGGGACGAACACATGCTCGCATCCCGCGAGTTCTGGTTTGTGGGCCCTACTACACACCTTCACACGTCGATCCCTCTCACTATATACATACATGGACATGTAAGTAGAAACATAATCAGAAATATATATATATATACATATATACATATACATAATTTATTTATTTATACACACACATATATTTGTTCGCTTCTTGACCCTTATGTGTTTTTTGGGGTTCGGGGGTCCTTGTTTCTTTGATCGTGCCCAAATGGCTCTAGTAGGCAAGCCCAGCGCCGATTCTCCAGCATGCAACCTGCTGTCAGCCCCCAACCACCTTCAAGAGGAAACCCTGTAAGCCAGGAAAGGGAAAGGGGTGTTCTTGTTTCGTTCAAAGAAGTTCACAAACGGAACCCTACCCTAAGTAGAGTCAGGGTATCTCTGGCCATGCTGGAATCCATGGAGGTCCTCAGGGGTCATCGCTCCCCCAGCACTTGGGGGTGCTCCGCTTGCGGTTGGCCCGGTTGCGGCGGGTGCGGCTGCTCCGCTCGTGGCGCCGCCCACCTTCGAACAGGAGACAGCAAAGCGGCTTTTCGAACTAGCCCAAAGCCCCCCGACCCCTACAAAACCTCTGGACCCCTCAGCCTCTTATCTCTAAACCCTGAAAATACCACCGAATTTTTGTCTATGCAGTGTCCCGAAATCTTAAGACCTAGACCCCAAACCCCCACCCAAACCCTAAACCCTAAACCCTAAGCCCAAAGACCTAAACCCTAAGCCCTAAACCCTAAACCCTAAATCATAAACCCTAAACCCGAACTATACAATCCAAAATCTTGTCCTGCCCAGCCCTTATCGCGGTGCTCTCTGGGGCTGGAAACAAAAGTGCAAGAATTGGCCGATAAGACAAGGCAGCCGTAATTAGTCACTAGCAACCAGAGTTTAAAAGCTAAACCCTAAACCCTAAACCCTACAGAGAATCTCGCATGTCCTGTATCCACGTCTCGAAAACCAAAGATCCAAAGTTTCGACGAACCTCTCCGAACCTTTTTAGGTACTTTTCAGCCCCCCCGGAACCCTCTGCGAAACCCTAAACCCCCACCCAACCCCAAACCCTACAACCCTAAACCCCTAAACCCGAAACCCTAAAACCCTAAACCCTGAAACCCTAAAACCCTGAAACCCTAACACCCTAAAACCCTAAAACCCTAAATCCCTAAAGCCTAAATGATCAAGATCTGCATGGTGAACCCTCGGCCCACATATTGTTCGACGTACCCACAAAGATTGGGCACCCCCCCCCCCCCCCCCTTCCACAGACACTATGTAAACACAAAGTCTGCAAAGACACAGAGCTTCTGCACCCGACATGGGTAAAAAACAGCAACGAACCAATAGAATCATCGTTGAATTTGCTGCCCATGGCAAGTTCTACGGAAAGTTTGTTAACTTTTGCGTGGCCATTCTTGGGCTAATTCGATGACAAGCCCAGGACAAATCTATGTATGTTAGGTCATTTGTACAGACGCAATATGAAGTCGAGCCCCCTATACACATTGGGTAATCGGTTCTAAGACTAAAATAACATGTCGGGTTCGCTGCAATTCGGCGAAGCCCCCCCAGCCCCTAAGCCCTAATCGCTAATATCAAACCCAGAAATCTAAACCCCAAACTCCCTATATCCTAAACCTCAAACATTTAAACTCTAAACCCTAAACCCTTAACCCAAAACCCTAAACCCCAACCTCTGAAATTCCTGAGAACCTTTAAGGTGGGCTTGGGTTCCACGACTGTCCAAGGGGCCGTCGGCAGTGAGCCATAGTATGGATGTCATGAAACATGATGCTTTAGCTTACTTCTCCAATAGCCAAGGGGAAAAAAGGTTAAACTCTATTATTCTTACTAAATAAGGAAACCCAAAAAGTTTAAAGTTCAGCTGTTGGAGAAGTAAGTTAGGCTTTAGGGCTCAGGGTTTAGGGATTAGGGCTTAGGGTTTAGAGCTTCGGGGCTTGAAGTTTTGGGCTTGGAGCGAAGGCTTAGCGCCTTAGCGTTGAGGCCCCCGTGAACATGTGGGGGTTTTCGAAAAAATAAGGAACCGCTAACCCTAAACCCTAAACCCTAAACCCTAAACCCTAAACCCCAGATAGTCGGATTCCCATTAAATAAGGACCCCAATGAGGTACCCCCCCCGCCCCTAATTTCGGAAGCCCCATGTGAAGCCTTAGGGGCTGAATACCCTAGCCCAAACAAGGGAAAACCTTTTATAGATAGAAGGGTTCTGTACAACCAAAAAGGTCAAAGGTTCCCCTAAACCCTAAAGCCTAAACCCTAAACCCTAAAATCAAAACCCAAAACCCTAAAACCCCTACCCCTAAACCCTAAACCCTAAACCCTAAACCCTAAACCCTAAACCCTAAACCCTAAACCCTAAACCCTAAACCCTCAACCCTAAGAAGCCCTCTTCCACGAAGTCCCAGGAGCTGGCTCAGCAGGCTTTGGCGGAGCTGCCTGCTGGCAGTACTTCCAGTCGTCGTCATCGTCATCCTCAGCCTGGCAGCTGATTGCGGCCCTAAACCCTAAACCCTAAACGCTAAACCCTAAACCCTAAACCCTAAACCCTAAACCCTAAACCCTAAACCTTATCAACCCCCCGTTCCTCCATACCCCGACCCCTCTTTGCTTAACTCTATGGATCTCCAGCTGACTCGAGCGGGTGCATGTGATGTCCGTTCAAGCTCCGCAGCTTTGGATGTTCGCAGTGGAATTGTTTGGGAAGAAGACACATGCTAAATTGAGATCAGGGTTTAGGGTCTAGGGTTTAGGGTTTAGGGTAAGCTCAACTGGGCATCGCTTACATACTCACATGCGCACGCAAATTAACAAAGGTCAGTGCATAGGAACCAGTTGAGCCGTTCTAGGTGTCCAACAGTTCTGTCCTAGGCGCTATATGTATGTACGCAAACAAGTGTACCTGAAGCCTGAAGCCTGAAGCCTGAAGCCTGAAGCCTGAAGCCTGAAGCCTGAAGCCTGAAGCCTGAAGCCTGAACCTTAAACCCTAAACCCTAAAAAACCCAGACCCTAAACCCGAAACCCTACCCCCTAAACCGCCGGCCTCCTCGTCGGACTCGTCGTCCTCGCCGAAGACGGCGGTGCCGACGGGACCGGCCGGCGCTGTGGGCGCCCCGAGCCGCACCTTCGGTTAGGGTTTAGGGTTTAGGTTCAGGGTGTAGGGTTTAGGGTGTAGGGTTTAGGGAGACCCCGTAAAAAGTAGGACAAGAATAAACAAAACCTTAAGTTTCCGGCAGGAACACAAAGGGTAGGAACATAACATTTCTTTCGAGGGTGTTGGGTATGAATAACATATAATGTAGACTTTAAAGAGTTTAGGGTTTCTAGGGTAATGTAGGGTTTTGGCTTTGGTGTTTCGGTCTCCGCGCGTGCGCCAGGAAGCAGCGGCGCAGTCCAAGTGTATGGCCCGTGCCGTGGTCTGCAGCCCACGCTTGAGCAGGCGCCAAAAGCTGCGCAGGGTTTAGGGTCCTGCTCATTCCAGGCCTGTTCGATGCGAGCGCGCATCGTGGACCAAAACAAGTGAGAAGCGAGTTCGTTGCCAGGAACATGCTCTCGCAGAAGAAGACCAAGAACACTTGGATCTGAGTAGGCTCATTGTCATTGGCTGGCTCGAATGAGGGCAGTTGAGTAGTTTCGAATGGATGCAGCACACTCCTATAGACAACGGGACAACCCTAAACCCTAAACCCCAAGTGGACATTTGGAAAGGCCTCCTCTCATGTGCAGAAGCGGGGCGCGGCTCTCCACGGCCCCGTACTTTAAGCAATATCTTTGGGTAGTTACATAGGGTTTAGGGTTTAGGGTTTAATTATGGGCGCTGAAAAGGGGACCCCTTATGCACCCCTTATAGACTCTATATCAATTAAGGGGAGTTTAGGAACCATATTCAGAGCACATGAAACTGCCCTTAGACTTTAAGCAACTAGGCATGCTGCTAAACTAAGTGGGCTCTCTTGGTGCACAAAGGATGTGGAAGGAATAGGGTTTTAAACCCCTAAACCCTAAACCGTTTAGGGTTCAGGGTTTAGGGTTCAGAGTTTGGGGTTTAGGGTTTAGGGTATAGCAATCCTGACCTCAAGTGCTGCAAAGTCAGATGGTGAGCTCCAAAAAACTATGGAGCTTAGTAGTTTCCTGTCAGAAACGGTGAGCCATAAGGAAACCCTACATCAGAGAACTGCCCATATCCGTAACCACAAACCGAGGCCTCCACCCTTGAATCGGACTATTGAACCATAAGCTCTGGCTCAAGCCCGCTTCCCCCTCAGTACCTACCGTAGCAATGGCCTCAATACCCTTCAAGAGGCTACACAGGTCATGATTCTGGGTACTAAGGGTTTAGGGTTTAGGGTTTGGGGTTTGGGGTTTGGGGTTTAGGGTTTAGGGTTTAGGAGGGACGGTTTAGGAGTCCGCTCGGGGCTTTGCCTGCTCCAAGCTGGCCGATGCTGGCGCTGGAGGCCTTCAGCTGAAAGACTTGGGTTTAGGGTTTAGGGTTTAGGGTTTAGGGTTTAGGGTTTAGGGTTTAGGGTTTAGGGTTTAGGGTTTAGGGGGGCTGATGGTATGAGTTGGGATGTTCCCCCACATACTTAGAGGTTCATGGTACTCAGTAACTAATTGGAATTGTGCTTATAACCCAGTTGTAAGCCCTTTAAGCGCCCTAATATGGTTATATGTACACTTATAAGTGCAGTTATAATTGGTTAATAAGTAACCTCCAAGTACTAACAGTCCTTAATAGGGATGATGGTATCCCCTGTTATAGTCCCGATCAAGGACTGTTCGGAAAAAAGGGGGAGAATAACAAGGTTTGAGGGAGATGTTTGGGGGTTGCGAGTTTGAAAAGGATGTTTAAGATTCGCAGCCGTAAGCCCAAAGCCCTACATCCTCTGTCTGTGCGTGTGTGTGTGTCTGTGTGTGTGTGTGTGTGTGTGTGGGAGGTTGGGGTTTGCTTCTCTACCAAGTATCAAGTTCAAGGAAAAGATTGTGGTGAGGTTTGTTTTTTGCAAGTCTCCGGCTTAATTTTGCTCGTGTTAGGCTTAGGGTTTACTTAGGCTGTAGAGGTTCAGGCACGGACAATACAACGAAACAAGGCACTGAAAGCACTGAAGATAAAGGTTTGGAGCTTGGAGTTATCAGACTCAGGCATGGGTCGCCCTGAGCCCTAAAACCTCAAAACTAGAAGGTTGAGGGTTTAGGGTTTGGGGTTAACTTCGGCTTACCCGCCAGACCCACACTCAAAACCCTGTAAACCCTCAACAATATGTCCAGACACAAGAGTAGCCTAGGAATAACAAGGGTGCCCGTTGGTTTTGAGGAATTTATGAGGGAACCCGACCCCTAGAAAAAAAGAAAAAATAAGGGCCTACTCTGGGTCCTAGCCCTAAACCCTAAACCCTAAACCCTAAACCCTAAACCCTAAACCCTAAACCCTAAACCCTAAACCCTAAACCCTAAACCCTAAACCCTAAACCCTACGAATAAGGGCCCTACTCTGGGTCCTAGATGTTTAAAGCATCGCCTGTAGCATGGGTTCAGCCGAGGTTTCGCAGTCTTGCGACTCCTGCAGGGGCTCCCGAGGGCTAAAAGTCGAATGACACCCTGAAACCCTTAAACCCTTGGTGTAGGGTTTAGGGTTTAGGGTTCAGGGTTTAGGGTTTCGGGTTTAGGTGTCGGGACTCACATTTTGAGGTTTTGGGGCCCAAAGGCCTTCCCATGGGTCATTTTGAGCCTAAGGGGAAGCCCCAACAAAACCACTAGCCCTAAACCCTAAACCCTAAACCCTAAAACCCTAAATCCTAAACCCTAAACCCTGAACCCTAAACCCTGAACCCTCATGACTTCGGAAGCTGGGCGCCCGAGCGCGGCGGGCTGTGCCCGAGCCGGCGCGGCCGGCGCCGGAGCCTGTCCCCCAAAAGCAAGTAGTGGTTGGGGTTTAGGGTTTAGGGTTTAGGGTTTAGGGATTAGGGTTTAGGGTTAAGGGTTAAGGGTTAAGGGTTTAGGGTTTAGGGTTTAGGGTTTAGGGTTTAGGGTTTAGGGCCTAGGGCTTAGGGCTTAGGGTTTAGGGTTCGGGTTTAGGGTTTAGGGTTTAGGGTTTAGGGTTTAGGGTTTAGGGTTTAGGGTTTAGGGTTTAGGGTTTAGGGTTTAGGGTTTAGGGTTTAGGGTTTAGGGTTTAGGGTTTAGGGTTTAGGGTTTAGGTTAGGGTTTAGGGTTTAGGGTTTAGGGTTTAGGGTTTAGGGTTTAGGGTTTAGGGTTTAGGGTTTAGGGTTTAGGGTTTAGGGTTTAGGGTTTAGGGTTTAGGGTTTAGGGTTTAGGGTTTAGGGTTTAGGGTTTCGGGAATTTAGGCCTCAGGGTTCAGGG